CTACACACTTTCTTCTCTTGTCCTGGAGAAACAAACCCTTCGGGTTGGTCCATATAAATTTTCTCATTTAAGTCACCATTTAGGAAAGCTGTTTTCACATCCATTTGGTGTATCTCAAGATTATGCAATGCTGCAATAGCTATGAGCATACAAATAGATATTATTTTCGTAACGGGAGAATATGTATCAAAGTAATCAAGACCTTCCTTTTGTTTGTAACCTTTAGCTACAAGTCTAGCCTTGTACTTATCAATTGATCCATCACTTTTTATTTTCCTCTTGAAAATCCATTTACACCCCAATGATTTACTCTCTGGTGGAAGATCTACCAACTCCCAGGTGTGATTTTGCATGATGGGTTCAATTTCACTGTTTACAGCTTCTTTCCACATAGGTGCTTCAGGAGTGGACATCGCTTCATTAAAGTTTTGAGGCTCATTTTCTAACAAATATGTTAAAAAATCTGGACTATAGGACTTGGAAGTCCTTGCCCTCTTACTGCGTCTAAGTGCCTCTTCACTTTCTTCATTTATAGACTCATTATCTATATTACTAGTAGCACTATCATGAGCTTTTTTAAGAGAACTCTCATCATATGCATTTTTACTAGGAAAGAAATTTTCAAAAAATGATGTATTTCTTGACTCAATGATTGTATTGACATGTATATCAGGAATATCAGATTTACGCACGAGAAAACGATATGCACTGCTATTTATTGCATAACCAATAAATATACAATCAATAATCTTAGGTCCTATTTTAATCCTTTTAAAAATAGAAACCATCACCTTAGCCAAACACCCCCATACTTTTAAATATTTATAAGAAGGACTCCGACCTTTTCATAATTCATAAGGGGTTTTTTCTATTTTCTTGTGGGGTAGTTTATTTAAAATATAATTTGCTGAAAGCAAAGCTTCTCCCCCGCAAGTTCTGAGGTAATCCCGAACTTATCAACATGACATTCATCATTTCTTTCAATGTTCTATTTTTATGTTCAGCAACTCCATTTTGTTAAGGTGTATAAGGCGCAGAAGTTTGGTGAATAATACTATGTTCTTGACAGAACTAATCGAAAGGTGCGTCATATTCACCACCTTGATAACTTCTTATTGCCTTAATCATTTTGCCAAGTTGATTCTCAACTTCATTCTTATAGTGTATAATTTTTTTCCAAAGCTTCATCTTTACTCCTTAGCAAATATACATAGCAATATCTTGTGCAATCATCAATAAATGTAACAAAGTATTTCTTTCCACCTCTATTTTGAGCATATTTTAAATCACATGTATCACTATGAATTAATTCTAGAGACTCAGTACTTCTTTCAATATTATAAAATGATGTTCTAGTTAATTTTGATTCAACACATGCCTCACATTTATGATTTGCATCAATATTAAATTTAGGCAACAATTCTAAATTTATTAATTTACGTAAAGTATCAAAATTACTATGCCCTAATCTACTATGCCATATATTAGAAGACTCAAACATATAAGCAGAAGATGTGTTCTTTTTATTAAAATTGGTACAACTGTCATTACATTCATCTTAAAGAGCTCATCGCTCATATATCCATTGCCTACATAAATCCCACTCTTGGTGAGTACAAATTTGTCGGACTCAAAAATCAACCTAAAACCTTTCTTACTGAACAACGATCCAGACATAAGATTCTTTCAAATTTCTGGAACATGTAACACATTTTTGAGAGTAAGTTCTTTTCTAGAAGTCATCTTCAATATAAACTTTTCTTTGCCTTCAACTTTGGAAGTAGAGGAATTCCCATGTAGAGTTGTTCTCCATCGTTAATTGCTTCATATGAAGATAACATCTTCTTATTTGAACATATGTGTCTAGCGGTCCCGGTGTCCACCCACCATTCCGTGGTATTTTTCGCCAAGTTCACTTCAGACACTACAGCAGAAAAACTAATGATAGAAACATTTTCAGAAAAGTTTTTTACATCGGTTATATTGGCTTGGGCAGTCTTCCTCTTGTGGTTCACTTGTGCTTTACAGCTTCGACAATCCTTTGCACGTTTTGCTGATTTATTGCATTCAAAGTAGTTGCCTTTGAACCTTTTGAAATCACCACCCTTGGCCCCCTTGTTGGCTAACATACTTCTTTTTCTTGTTGATTTTATGTCCCTCTTCAATCACATGTGCCTTTGACTCCATGGAATAATTGTTAACTTTCTTTTCGAAGGCTCTATTGTCCTCCTAAATCCTCAATCTTACGATCAAGTCTTCAAATTTCATTTCTTTGCATTTGTGCTTCAAATAATTTTTGAAGTCTTTTCAATTTGGTGGTAATTTTTTAATAATTGCAGCCACTTAGAAAAATTCACTAAGCACCATCCCTTCGACATGAATCTCATGTAGGATCACTTGAAGATCCTTAACTTGACTTATGATAGTCTTGGAATCCACCATTTTGTAGTCAAGGAATCTACCCACAATGAATTTTTTCATTCCGGCATCCTCAGTCTTGTATTTTCTATCCAAGGATTTCCACAGCTCTTTAGCCGTCTTGATTGGACTATACACATTATATAATGTATTATCCAATACATTGAGGATATAATTTTTGCATAGAAATTAGAGTGCTTCCATGCATCCACCGTAACAACAACTTGGCAGTCGGTCTCATTCTCAATACAAACAGGAGTATCCTCACGAAGAAACTTTGCAAGATTCAACGTAGTGAGATAAATTAGCATTTTCTGTTGTCATCTCTTAAAATCATTCTCATTGAACTTTTTGGATTTTTTCCCGTGAGACACATGAGTTGGAACAAAAATAGGCACCACAGGCACAACATAATTTGTAGTAGCAAAAACAATATTATCATTTTCAGCCATTTCTGATAAACAAAGACTACAAACTATTCAAAAATAGGAAAATAGTAACATTTTTCAAAGCAAGTTATTAAAATAGAGATAGTGTCACTGTTTTTGAAGTTACTGTTTCATCGTTTATGTATGGTCTCACTATTTGGTGTAATTGTTTAAATCATACATTGAATAAAGTTACTATTTGGTGTAACTGTTTAAAACATACATAGAAGCAAAGTAATTGTTTGGTGTAACTATTTTAAATATACACAGAAACAAAGTCACTGTTTGATGTAACTGTTTGAATTTAAACACAAAAAATTGAATATGCAATTTTTCACAAATTTCCAAGTCTCTTTAAAATATCACAGATTGTAAACAAAACAGGATTTAACAATTTGTAATATTTTAGAACAATCTAAAAATTAAAACATGTATCAGACACACAACAAGCAATTATAAAAATTCGAGAAAATCTATCTTAAAGATTGTTGTTTGTGGTGTGTCAAATATTGTAAAATCACTTATTAAAATTCCTGATTTGAACCATGCAAAGTATAACAAAATAGTTACAGTAAAAAATTACACAGAAACAAAAGAGTTACAGCAGGGTAACGAAACAAAAACAACAAATAGATACACGTAATTGTTTGTTTAAACAATAAAAATACTAACTCAATTGCAAAACAGAAACTGTTATTGAACTTTAGGTAGATCAAGGCTAGTATTTGATACTATGTCCTTAAGACAGATCTCGCCTCCACACACGGTGCTTATGAAAATTGACCGTCTGCCTCCCAGGATACAATGATCTTTACACGAACAGAAGTAGCTCTCTAATCTGCTCGTCCAACGAACCAAAATTGTGTTATGTACTCTCCAAATGCACTGCCTTAATGCCGAAAATGATATGTTCTAATGTCTGCTTAATGTAAAAAACGGACTGAATGAATTGAATAATATCTGAATGCATACATGAACTGGGAATTTATAAACACCTTGGTAACTTTCCGGACTGTCACCAAACTAAAAGACACAACAGCCTATAGACACCTTGGGTAATTGTTCTCCATGAACAGTCACAATTTAATTCGGTCTAGAGGGAGTCAACAAATTAAATTTCGGGTTAATAAATTCTCGCCCAATTAATTAAATAAATTTTCTCCAAAAAGATAGAGTTTGGTCTAACCCACACTCGAGCTCGGCACGGCCTAGCCGGGCGGCGCGCACGCGCGTGTGTGGTTGAACCGAAGGCATGTAGGTGCTCGCTCCGCTCATAAAATTGTGGTTCCCCTTGGGGTCCAATCTCATAGAGCAAACTTGACCTATATATGCCCATGTTGAATTTCTTCATCAACCAATGTGGGATTGGTGTCACATCCCACATTGTACTTCCTTTATTTTCACATTTCAAGAGGATCACTTTGAAGCCTATTTTCTCATTTATTTCTTACTCGATTTGAGCAAGTGAATATACTACATTATTCTTCTCACAGAGTAGAATATGATCCCACAAAATTTTGTTCAAAATAACAATCGGGTCCCACTTTAATTTGGGCTCAAAGTCGATCAAAATTCAATTTTTACACTTAAAAAACTATTTGGTCCAACAATCTCTTCCTCACCTGTTTGGTTTCCAGGCTTTGAATAGATTTATCAAGAAGTACAAAATTTGCAAGAAGAAAAACACTGAAATTTTAAAACAAAAAGTGCAAGCTACCAACCAAAAATTTAAAGGTACTGACCAAAGGAATAAAGAGTAAGATTGCAAATCATAGAAAACTTAAAAGTGTAATTGCCATAAGCAATTTATCCTTTTTTTCTTGATTTAGAGAGAGAGAGAGGGGGGGAGGTGTATATATATATGATGCATTGCTTCTCATCTTTCCCAATATAACCATCAATATATTTCTCGTTAAACTCACTCGAAATGGAGAGCTTGGCAATAGAATTCAGCACTTACTCCACCACTCTAAAGCTTACAAATTTGCCTCAGAAGATACAGCAGAATCATTGGAATTCTTCTGCAATTTCTGAAGAGATAAAGGCGCAGTACCAATCGACCAACGCGGCAACACAGTCCTCCACCTTCTGGCCATCAAAGGGAATGTGTCCGCCTTGGGAAACCTACTTCGGGAAGACCACGTGGTCGACGAGATGCTCCTGACAAAGAATGCTAGCGGCAACACCGCGCTGCATGAAGCTGCGATGTCTGGTCAGAAGGGTGTGGCAGAGAGCATGGTGACGAAGAACCCAACTTTAGTTTTTGAGAGGACTAATTTGAACGAGACGCCTCTTTACCTTACTGCTGCGTTTGGAAAGATTGAAGTTTTCACACTTCTGGAAAGCTACAATAGCGATTGCAGGATAAGGAGGCACGATGGCTCCACCATTCTTCATGCTGCCATTAAGGAAGAACGTTACAGTAAGTTTTCAATTCCATTCATTAGTTAATATTCATTCGAATGCTGGTCAAATCAACCACAAATTTTGATGGATTANCTCCACCATTCTTCATGCTGCCATTGAGGGAGAACGTTACAGTAAGTTTTCAATTCCATTCATTAGTTAATATTCATTCGAATGCTGGTCAAATCAACCACAAATTTTGATGGATTATCTCTTTTATTTCCTCCAGTTAAAAGCCTTAAGTTACCCTCTCTCCACAAGTACAACATTACATTAGGGGCGAAGGCAACCATTGATCAATTACATTTGTATTACTTTTGCAGGATATTATGTTGGTTTGGTTCCCTTTTAAGTCTAGTTTCTTCACAATAGGGCCACCTGAAGCATATGTAATATAATTAGCCCTCAAACTGTCTTTTGCTTTAAAAATGGTTCTCAAACCTTTAACTGTCTCAATTTAGTCCACCGAGGATTAATTTCATATGAATTATGTCTTTTCATCAATTTCAGCCATTAATGGAATTTAGTCCCCCATATGTTTGTGAAATTGTCTTTTGATCAATTACATTTGTATTAATTTTGCAGGATATTATGTTGGTTCCCTTTAAAGTTTAGTTTCTTCGCGATAGGGATAGGGCCACCCGAAGTGTATATGATTGAATAAATATTATAATTAGTTCTCAAACTTTATCTTTTGTTTTAAAATAGTTCATTGACCTTCACTTATCTCAATTTAGTCTGTCAACTATTAATTTCATGTCAATTAAGCTTTTTCATCAATTTCAACCGGGAGACAAGTCACGTGTTTGTCATGTGACCATCCTTTGTTCTAATGGATATAATTGATGGAAGGACTTAATTGACACAAAATTGATAGTGGAGACTAAATTAAAAAAAGTTGAAAGTTCAAAGACGATTTTACAATAAAAGACAAAATTTAAGAACTAATTAAGATATTTATCTTATATAATTTTGTATTCCTCTCTTATTCTTCCTCATACTTTTAATGTGTTTTGTCCCCCTTAGGTGAAAATCAGAGTTGAATATTCCTTAATGGACTTTTAATGAGTTGAGTTTATCAAGAAAACTCGTTTGGGGATAAGTCATATTTTAATCTTACTTGTAAGTTGTTAAGGCTACTATTTTTTTAAAACTCTAAAATACTCTTCCTTGAAAACATTGTTAAATTAATTTTTCTAATTTTGAAATTGTTACCCCCTTAATAAATATGCTCATAACTGATTTCCATAAATTTTGTATTTTAAAACTTTGATATGAAATGATGATGCACAAAATAGGCTTATGCACAATCAACGGTCGAGTGTATTGATGTTGAGTAATTAATATGGCAATAAATGCAGTAGATGTAAAGACGCAAATATTGAGTCAATGCAGGCAACACACAGATGTATAGTAGTTTGGTTGGAGTAACCTACTCCACTATGAATATGGCAACAATGGCTGGTGGAGTTTATTGATAAAATAGTAGGTGGGAGAGAGAGAGAGAGAGAGAGAGCAAGGGTACACTCTAGGTAGCTATGAGAGAGACATTTGTGTATTGTGTGTAGAGAGATGCCCCTCTTATATGGAGAAGGCTTACAATTTATAGGCACAGAACCTTAGTTGAGGCAGTAACGTGATGGGTAGGTTATTAGCTTTTTAAGAAGGATAGCTACAACTAAGATAGGTACAATTAGATATAGTGTTGATCTCTAAGAGTGGCTATCCTGGTAATTATTTTTCACGTGCGTTAATTCTTCTAGACTCATTGAACTCTGGACTGGGCTAAATCTGTGAACTGGGCTTGACCCACTTTGTAGCTAATTTGGGCTTACTCCATAGATTGGGTTTGGCCCAGCTAAATCTGGGCTCATCATTCCCCCCCCCCCATGCCCTAAGCCTTTGCAGCGACTGGAGGTTGTGGGCATGAGCATATTCCTTATTGAGGCCGTCCAGGTACCTTGCTTCACACAATGGTGGCTACTTTTATCCTGGAATACCATGCTTGGGTAACCACTATCATAGCAGTGAGTTTTCCACTAGATCCAACCATAAGAATTCCTCATCTTAGTTAAAGTGTTATCCTTAGAATGTTGGAGGTGGCACCTTCATGAGGCTTGAGGCGACGATGATAGTCGTCGTTGGTGACGTTATCAACAACACAGGCTTGGGCAGTGACGACGCCAAAAAAGGCCAAAAATGCAATGCCAAAGAAAGCAACCTAGGCAGCAGGCACGCATCAAGTGACAACAATGTTGGCAACATCTTTGGCGAGGAAGGCAACATCAGAGAGATTTGGGCGATGCCCTAGGCTTGGATGGTAGCGCCATAGGAGAAAAGGGTGAAGCCTAGACATTAGGCAGTGCCTAGGGTGCTGGGCACTAGCAAGGCAGGCCAGGCAATGCCTACGCAGGACAGCTGTAAATGGCACAAGGCACTGGCTGGTATGGGCGACGCCATAGAGTAAGTGGTCTTGGCGATGCCATAGAACAGGTATGTGCACAGGCTCTAGCACTGAGATGTTAGGCGTTGGCACTAACATCGGGTGGAGTACTAGAAAAGCATAAAGAGATAACAAAACTTTGAATAGCTATAACTTGGTGCTCGGTTGTCCATTTGAGACGATGTTTTTTAAATCCTCATATTTTTTCGAGATCTACGACAATCAAACAGTCGAAGGCGGTTTGGGCACCAAATTTTCCAAAAAAAATGGTTCTTTCTTGCTGAATTTGAGTTTTAAATACAAATTAGTGAAACCAACAACAATGGAAAGTTGGGCTCTGGCAGGCAACTATCAGGCATCCATGGGCAACGAGTTGGCAATCTGGGTTTTGCCAAAGAAAGAGGCTATGATGGTTTCGACTAGGTAGGAGACAAACCCGTTTTCTCCAATCCTATTTTCTCCTTAATGTTTTCTCGATGTTGGTTTTTTATATTGACCTTGTCTCTGATTAAAAGCGTCATTGTTGATAGAGCGATGGTGGAGACTTTCTATTTTTCTAGGGTCGCGTCTTCCCATCTTTCTAAGAGAGTGAAGTCTGATGCCCCCAGTGCTTCTCGGTCAAGGTCTGATGGCTAGGTTGCTTCTCAGGAGATGAGATCCGGTGGTGCCCCCACTCCTTCCTAGACTATGACTCCTGTGTGTACCAAAACTAGCTCTAGTACTGTTGTAGGAGTTAAGACTTAAGTGTTGTCTTATACGGGGATTGTAGCTCCACATAACTGCCCTGCTTCTAGTAGTGGCTTGGTGTCTATGTTTCAAGACGTGAATTTGGCCAAGGAGCAGCTTTGGAGGTTTGTGACTTTTGTGAATATCAGAGAGGTTAACTCTCGAGGTCTTGATGGCATTATAAATACTGCGATTGAGGGATTTGTCATATTATTCCTTTCTACTCAACTTTAATTTTGTGCCTGCCTCCTTTAGCTCATGTACCACTTTTTGAATGCTTGTAAGCGGCTACCGCTCTTCCCTGTATTTTTTCAAGAACGATAAAACTTGGAGAGGCATCCAGGGATCTAGTAAAAGAGAGGTAGGCACGAGAGGTTGCTGAGGAGTAGTTGAGGTTGACTCATGAGAGAGTAACACCTCTTAAGGCCAAGCTTTTGGTGACTCGTGAGAGAGGTGCTAAGTTGGAGATTGAGGTTGCTTGAGAGTAGAGGCAAGATTAGGCTGAGTTTTTTGGTGACTCGCAAGAAAGCGAAAAGCTGGAGACATAGACTACTTGGGAGTAGAGGTAGGATTAGGCAGAGTTTTTTGGCTACTCGCAAGAGAGCGCAAAGCTGGAGACATAGACTGCTTAGAAGCAGAGGTTGAATTAGACTGAGTTTTCTAGCGACTTACGAGAGATGCGCTAAGTTGGAGACTGTCTGTGCCAGAGTAGAGTCAAAGCTACAAGCGTCCCATGAGAGAGTCACATGATCTGAGGTCGAGCTACGTATAACTCAGGAGGGGGCTGCCATGATAGAGGTTGACCTGCGAATAGCTCGTGAGAGAGCCACTAGGGCAGAGACTCATTCCGTTGAGATAAAGATGAGGAGTGACGCTACTGAGAGGGCTATTGCAGGTGCCTTTATCGAGGGTTATGAGGCGTTTAGGGGTAAAGCCTTAGTAGCTTTCCTTACTATTGATTTCTTTGAGTTCGTTCCATATGAGGCACCAGGGGCAGATAGTGACGAGGAGAGCTTTGATGATAGTGGATCGGGGAGTAGTGAGTGATTGTTAGGAGTATGACGACTTTTATCTTTTTTGTCTAACTTGTTGTTAGGTCATGTTCTGACTTTTGTAAGCTCTTTTGGTGTTTAGCGTTCCATGGATAGGCCAAAGCTTCCTTGTTTTTATTATGCTGTCATTCCTATGGTCGAATACTTTCACTCAGAGGGCCTCTTGGGGTCTCTTGGCCCTCATAGAGGCCACATAGCATTCTCTAGCAGCGACTTGGTCTCCTCTAACTTCTCCAATCCCACAAAGGGTTGAAAAATGGAGAACAAGGTGATAGGTGGATGACACTACTCTTAAGGTATTGAGTGCAGGGCATCTAAGATGATGTTGTAGGCAGAAAGGCAGTCTAACACTATGAAATTTACCATGATGGTGGAACCTCTTGGTGTTGTCCCTGCTATGACTGGTAGGGTAATGGAACTCAAAGGATATGTCTTCTCACCTAAAAATCCAATGAGGGGCGTTCTAATAGGTTGCAGTCTTTCCTTGCCTAGATGAAGGCTGTCATAGGCTAGTACGAATAGGATGTCGATAGAGCTACTACTATTCACCATAATTCTCTTAACCTGGTAGTTGGCTACCGTCGTGGTTAAGACCAGGGGGTCATCATAGGGGAATTAGGTCCCCTTGAGGTCTATGTCTAAGAACAAGATGACCTCCCTTTTCTCGCGTCGGAGCGTCTTCATCGGGCGAGAATCATTTGACTTCGCCTGTCTAGCTCTCTTGGTGTGCGCCTTCCTAGCGGAGTTGGAGTCACCCCCTCCTCTTAACCCTCAAGGTATCATCTAGATCTCTCCGAGGGGCTGTTGACGCTCTTTTTCATCCTAGTTTTTGTTAGGCGATGAGGCTTGTCCTTTGCCACAACGTACTACCGTAATTGGCTGCACTATATGAGTTCCTCGATCTACCTTTTAAGATCAAAGCAGTCATCAGTATCGTGGCTTTGGTCGTGGTGGAAGTAATAGTACTTATTTGGGTTCCTACGGTTCGGGCCAATCTTTATCTTCCTTGGTCAATGTATCGTAGGATTATCCTATATTTGGAACATGATATGCTCTATCAATGCATTGAGCAGCATAAAGGCTTATCACTCTATCAAAGGTGGGAGAGTAGGGCGGTCCCTGACAAAGACTCTCTCTATTCTATTCCTCTTGTTCTCTGTTTTGTCTTCTGTCTTCGTGAGTATCCTTTCTTTTCTCACCCCCACAGAAGGATTCACCTCGCCTGGCTTTGGTGACGTCCTCGACATTCATATACTTTTGTGTCCTTGACAACAACTCAGGCATGCTGGTTGGTGGCTTTTTTAGGACAGAGAACATAAAACTGGAGGAGCGCAGACCTGCGATAAAGGCAGCCCTAGTCACCTTGTCGTCTGGCTCCTTAATCTAGAAAGCCTCCTCATTAAAATGAGTGCAGTAGCTCCTTAGGCTTTCATCCCGATCTTGCTTAATGATGAACAGGTGGGTAACTGACTTCTGGTGTCGGCGTCCCCCAATGAAGTGGGAGACAAAAAACTTACTTAACTTCACAAAGGAGTGGATGAAAGAAGGCTTGAGCTTCATGAACCACTGTCGTGCAAATCCCTTAAGGGTGGTAGGGAAAGCTTTGCACATGATCTCGTCAGACACATTGTAGAGCTACATGAGAGACTTGTATGTATCAAGATGGTCGAGGGGATCCTTAGTACCATCAAAGTTTTTCACGGTAGGCATCTTGAACTTTGAGGGTAGAGGGTAGTTGACAACATTCACAACAAACGGAGTGTCAGTATGCCTTACCTAGTAATCCACTATCTCTAGCGTCTATGCTTTGATGACGTTGAGGGCATTGTCAAGTTGGTTTTGCACCTCCTTAATCTTTTCATCCCATGGATTTGGGACATCCTCAGTTGGATCATGGTAGTAGCTTTCATGATCCGCATACTGGTTCTCCCCCTTATTGTCTTGCCCAGAATGGTCGGCGCCATGTGGGGGCGAAGTAGGTACATGAGGATGCGGAGCCTACGAAGCGCCTGGGCGCTAAGAGGGGACTCCCTGGCGAGGGTCGCTTGGGCGTTGCATGGGGCTCCCTGGCACTGGGTGACATGTTGGGGGGCGCCAAGGGGAGAGGGTGTGGGACCTCTCCTATTGGAGGGAGTACGACCTCTCCTGTTTGCTGGGGGTGAACCCTCTTGAGGCGAGCATTAGTTGGAGAATTTGCTGATTTTGACTCATCAACAACTACATAGTCTCCAAAAGTTGTTACCTGACCACATGATTTACCATAGTGGATGGTTCCATTGGTGGAGGTGCAGACAGAGCCTCCTCCCGACGAGCTGGGTCATTATCAGATTTGAAAGAAACTAGAAAGGTAGTAGAAACTTCAGTCGTTTCTCATAGATGATGTCAAACTGATGATGCATAAAATAGGCTTATGCACAATCAGCAGTCGAGTGTGTTGATGCTAAGCAATTAATATGGGTAATAAATACAGTAAATATAAAGACTTAAATATTGAGTCAACGTAAGTAACACACAGATGTATTATGGTTCATGTAGAGTGATCTATTCTCCTTTGAAGACGACAATGGTGGCCGGTGGACTTTATTGATAAAGTAGTAGGTGGGGGAGAAAGAGAGCAAGGGTACGCTCTAGATAGCTATAAGAGAGAGAGAGTTGTATAAGGTGTGTAGAGAGATGCCCCTCTCATGTGGAGAGGACTTACAATTTATAGGCACGGAGCCTTAGTTGAGGCGGTGATGTAATGGGTAGTGCTTGACAAATTTCTTTGTTGTTTCCTAACCTATAAACATCACATTTTAGCATGTATAGTATATGAATAAAGGGGAGTGTCACTATCCTAGGGATGATGTCAAAAGAAAGGGCAACGGAATGGTGGATGAATGAGATTTCAAATGTGAGTATGTGTGAACAAAAGTGCTCTCCAAGCGCAAGGAGACTTTCGCGGATCGTGTTTTACTTTGTAGTATTTCAAGGTCGTTTCCACAGGGAAGGAAGTAAACCGAGAGGAAGGTGATTTTGGGAGAAAGAAAGTGTAAAATCTTTGATTGTTGGAAGTTGTTTGGTGAAGTTGTTTTGATGCTAGTAAAATGA